GGGATCCTGCCTAGGTGAATGTCAGATGTGACGGTGTAAGTATCCGGATCGGTTCCGGATAACTTGAGGTTGAACGTAGTCTGAACAAACAGCTGCGATATTGTTTTGAAGCCGTCACCGGCTGGGACGAGATTTTTGATATAATGTAACGGCGCAGGCAAGACTACTCGGATCAGTATCGGCGGTAGTGTCACTCAGAGGCATATGGGAGTGCGTGGGACATCAAACGAGCCTTAATTCGAATAGACACCTATAGGCCTTGTACGAAAGGATATCAAAAGTCTACAGAGCTAGCTACAGGGAGTGTCTCCTTATATACTTATCTTAGTCGGATCCGAATCGGATCCGACCTCACAACGAGTGGTTGATGAAGAGGGCGGCGAGTACTACCTCCGATCCGGCTCTGGGATTGGTCCGATACATGGCGAAGTTGTAACATCGTTACAGACTAACGCCACAGCCCCTAACAACCATTAACGGTTATTGTTCATGCTAAAATTAATCACGATGTGTTACTGTAGGATGCTGTTTTATAATGGGCTGTTGCCAATAAAGGGACTTTAAGCCCTTTCCTCTAATGTTGTCTCTGTTAAGGGCGAAGAGGCCTTCGAACGAGTTTGCATTAACCTATGTTACAAAAGAAGAAAGATAAAGAAAGTAAAGCTATCGTACGACGTCTCTCACTTTATACTCTTGCCTTAGGTTCCTTCATACGAATAAGGTTTCGTGACTAAGCGGTGCGAAGAGGACACGTGATACAATCACGTGTTTCACTCACGGGCGCAGCCCATTACACCTACCTACTATAAGTTCTATAAGAAGAGATCTAATATTAACTTAACTCTCTATGTAACGGCGCAGGCAAGAATACTCGGATTAGTATCGGCAGTAGTGTCACTCAGAGGCATATGTGAGTACGTGGGACGTCAAACGAGCCTTGATTCGAATAGACACCTATAGGCCTTGTACGAAAGGATATCAAAAATCTATCGAACTACTATGGAGAACGGGTGGGGTTTTATAGAAGCAGATCTGCCCTAGGCTAGTGCGTGCCCATGTTCGGATCCCTTTCGGATGTTAGTTCGGTAGGTACTCGAACCGTTACACTACGCTGTTACGAGGTCTTTTATACCTCACTCTAATTTCCCAGCATTTCCTAGATGCTATAAGCTTCTATGTAGTACTATAGTAAAGTAATACTGCTATACGTAGTAGAACAGTCTGCTGTAACTTACGCAAAAAGAATAGTAATAGCAACGTAATTTTTAGTTATATATGTTAAGATATGTTAACAAAAAGCTGTAGTATATAAGTGTCACAGTTTTCTCTAGATTTTCAACGTGCGTGCAGAAAGCGAAATGCAGAAAGTCAAAGTACCCCCCATTTGTCCCAGCACTCAGGGAGGGACGTTACCCACTCCTTTCAGACCCCAGCAACATGGCAGAGCAGGAGGGCTCAGGACTAACCCCAGGACATCACAACAGCGATGAGGTAATGTCTCCGGCTGACACCGAGTAACTAATGCTAATAAATGTAGCTCCAAGGCAGTGGCCTCGATGGAGGGCACTTTGGGCCCCCCGGTTCCGCCCATTCCTTATCCTCAGCCGTGACGCTTCCTTTAGTAGACGCTCTATTCCAATCACTCCGCGCCGCCGTAGAGGAGGTCTACAATCTCAAAAGACTCCTCATGGAGGTGGATAACAGAAGTACTGGCATAGAATTGAAGTATAAGCATCTAGCGAACAAAGTCCGCTACTTAGAGCGATGTTCGATGAATGCTACAGAGAAACTTCGTAGGGTCACACAGAAGAACAAAGAATTGACTGCAGCCCTCAAAGGCGCTGTTCTAGATATATAGGTTGGTTATTGCAACAATTGCGGCAACTGTAACGGTTCGAGTACACACTGAACTAACATCCGAAAGGGATCCGAACATGGGCACGCACTAGCCGAGGGCAGATCTGCTGATATAAAACCCCACCTTCTCCATACCGTAGCTCGATAGATTTTTGATATCCTTTCGTACAAGGCCTATAGGTGTCTATTCGAATCAAGGCTCGTTTGATGTCCCACGCACTCCCATATGCCTCTGAGTGACACTACCGCCGATACTGATCCGAGTAGTCTTTGCCTGCGCCGTTACATTATATCAAAAGTCTCACCACCGCCGGTGACGGCATTCAAACAA